CGCTATATTATTAACATTATTTTTATTATTACTAATATAATTATTATTTCGAGAAGTGTCTGAACGGATTTCATTTGGATTTTAGAATTGATAAAATTTTTGATAAAGTGGGAAAGGGTATTTAAAAATAAACTTTGTTTGATTAGAAATTTAATCCTTTTAAGGGGGAACACCAAGGTGACGGCCGAAAAAAAGGCTGTCGTGTATTTTCGTGAATTTTTTTGTGAAAACTAATACTGTATGAATTATTGTCTTTATATATTCAAAGTATATACCTATACGCCGCGGAAGCAACCGGGTACCTACCATAGAAAAATTCAATTTTGAATAGACTATTAGTTTTTTATTAATTTATTTGATTCATGCACGTAAAATAGGTTGCGTAATAATAGAATACATGAAAATCAATATAAAAAAACATTTATTTTACATTTTATGCATTTAAGAAAAGTTACTGCATGTTCATTGCAGACAGGCTTATCACATTGGGAACAGGTCTTTGTGTTTTCCTTCTCTTCTTGATTGTCTGTTTATAACAAATACGGCAAGAACCGGTGACTTTCTTCCTTCCTGATGCACCTCGTTCAACTGCCAGACCTGGAGCAGCCTCTACAGGATTTACTAACCGTCTGATCACACTTTCAATAGCGATCTTGGTGCTATAATTTCTCATTACTTGCAAGTTTTGAAATCGATCCTCAATCATTGGTTTTGCAAGTTTTTCGCTCAATTGGCGCATAAATAACCGCCGCTGGTTGGTTTTTCTCGGTAGTCTTATTATTTTCATAATAGATTAGATAGGAAGCGAGTGAGGTAACGTCTAACATGTTGAAAAACATAACTAGCGACCATCTCAAAGTGCGACGTTGTGTAGTGTATCTGCTAATCATTTGGTCCATGGTGTCGATGCCAGTCTTACATTTATTATAATACGTAATAATGTGGGGCTTCTTCTTAGCATCATTGTTCACATGTCGGAATGATATCAGAATTACTGCTTTCTTCTTCGGTACGTAGGAGCACAGCGCTATTTTTTCATGGAATCCAAACACAGTAGAGTATACTTCTCTCGATTTATTCGGAGCCATCACACTTGGAATGTAAGGTTTATTTTTCTTGAAAGTACCAACTAAAGTTAACTTCCAAGAAAGCAAGTTTTTGGCAAGAGGTAATGTTGTAAAATAATTATCCATGGCAATATTTCTACCACTGTCTCAGTACGCGGCTGCAAGTTGTTTTACTACTCTTTCTCCTTGGTTTTTCTCTCGAACGTTACCTGTTTTGCCTATGTAAATGATGCCGTGCAAGAGATAGGCATTTTCAGCGTCGCAAATCCATCAAATCTTGATGTCATATTTGGCCGGCTTCGAAGGAATGTACTACGTAAACTTTGTGTGACCGCGAAAAGGACAAAGTTGTTCATCGATCGTTAATCTTTTTATTAATTCTTACTGTAATCGTTAATCGTTAATTCTGATTTTAAAACCATCTTAAATAATGTCTTAAGATGCTAATACAGTCCTCGGATTGACTTATGACTGTATTTAAGACGGTCTTAAATGTAAGAGTCGACTATGAATACCGACCTGTTTGCGTCGTGAAGTTGGTACTAAACCTTTCCTTATTTAATACAGTTAATATTTCTCTTTCTTATAGAAGATGAGAGGTGGGCACCGCATCAGGTGCGTAATAACGTTGGTAAAGTTGGGTGCGTACGCAAGGGTTAAACTGCCTAACGTATAAAAAAGATCAGAAGATGTGAAATTTATTTATTGTAGTCTCCAGGGAAGCCAAATTAAGTTCTCTGTCGAGAATATATCTTTCCATGCCAGTTACAAGGCTGTTACAAGGCCAGTTACAAGGATTCATTTTCTCATAAAAAAATACTTATTTTATTTTATTATTAAAGACTTTAATAATAAAATAAAATAAGTATTTTCTTATGAGAGAAAATGAATCCTTGTAACTGGTCTTGTTAAGTAAGTGAGATTAAAAACTCACTCACTTACTCATTCACTCTGTCTCTGTTTATCTCCTGTACATTGATAATTATTACATATATATGTGCATTAATGTTCACTTATATTGCTAATTTTAATGTAATATTGTTTGAAAGAAGGCATTGTGAAAGGCAGCTTAATGGACAAAACGCTTTACATATATGTATCCCACGTACGACTGAAAAAAATCTGAAATAGCCCCTTTTCGGGACTCAACTTCCGAATCTTGATATCGGCTGCACAAAGTTTATTCCAATTGGTCGCAGTCGAAAGATATCGATGACATTATACTATAATAAAAGTGTTTTTAGATTTTTGATTGTGGTTTTAGTTTCTGAATAATTTTAATCTAAAGTTTGTTGATGTCAAAACTGCAGATAAAGCTAGTGGTAGCGTCGCAAATTTTGCAAAGGCACGAACATATACGTAAAGACATTCTCATGTTAAGCAGCTCGTTTTATATTGTTATGCATTGGTTGCGACGCTACCGCGTTACCTGACTTTTTGATAAAAATTTAGAAGTGTTTTTTTTGCATGAAATGGAAACTTTTAAGCCACCACAGCACAATTTCATCAAAGTCTGATCTTTCTTTGCAATTTTCAATATTTTCCCATCAGTTTAGCTTGAAATTAACATTTGCAAATTAATTTCAAGCTAAATTAATGGGAAAATATTAAAAATTGCAATTAAAGATCAGATTTTTATGAAATTGTGCTACTTTTAATGCGATTTTCAACATGTTCTCATCAATTTAAAATAACCATTTGCAAATAATTCAACATATCAAAAAATACAAGAAAACATGCATAAGAAAGGATCTCGTTTTGACCAAAATCCGGTAATTTTATCCTCCTTTAATTTCCATTTTTAGATATAAGATTTTCATTGATTTGTTCAAAAGTTACCAATTTTTTAATATATCACTAGAATATTTGCATTTGTGTTTATATATTTGCAAAAATAAAATATTTAAGTTGACTTTTGCACTTTCATGCACAACCAGGGCGTTAGCTTTAACTGATTTCAACCACTACAAACGTATGAAATTACTTTCGGACCGCAGACAAAAATAGAGAAACTAATACAGAGAATTTTATCAATTAATTGCAACATTTAGTGAACCCGTTTAGAGAGCGATAAGAACGACCAATTATATATGCGACTAAGATGTAAGCGAACCAAAAAATGTTTTAATTTAATAACCGATAATTAGAGATAATATTATATACCAAAGAATATTTAAAATTTTATTGTAAACATACTGAAGATGATTCGATAGAGAATCGAAACATTTATGTGTATAAAGGATATATGTATAGATATCATAACGAATATTATAAACATTAATTTGGAGCGATTAGTTTTCCACATCAAGATCCAGTGTAGGCTTTCATGCTCTTCATACAAAAGAATTAAAATATTTAAACAAATGCCCGAGCAGAAATTGAACTTCGTGCGGATCTAGTCATGAGATAAAAAAGTTGTGTCTTATCTAGTCACTGGCTAGTACTTCTAGCTAGCTACTATGCTGCTAGCAATGTAACACTCACTTCTCTCAGTAGCAAAAAAAATTAACTAACAGCTAAACACAAAACATAGTCACAACGTGAAAATTCATAGCTATCGTAACTATGCATAATTATTCTATATCTTTATTATTCCATTAAATGCTAAAAAAAATAGAATGACACTTGTGTTGATTTGTGTCACTAAATAGAAGGTGTCTATATTGTACCAAATATCGTACAATAATATTGATATTAATTCTTAATGTTAACCTAACAAGTAATAATACTGTACGATATACTGAGAACTATCAAACATTTTATTTATTTCTATTTTGGAGATTTTATTTTGACTAATTTTAAAGATTCATGTTCGAAACATAGTTTTGTCGTTTTATAATATGAGTAAGAAATCTCATAATACTGCGACTTTTTATTCTATCCTGTATGTTTTTTATTTATGAGAAATAAAATTCCACGTCCATCTATCGGCGATGTTAATATGTTATGTTAATATGTTATATTAATATATTATGTTAATGTGTTTGATTTAGTGTAGATGCGAAATTAAAAATTTACCGACAATATATCGATTTGATAAATTTTTTTACGAATTGTACCCACTGAGATACAATACCTACTGGAACGCGCGCTGGCGCTAGTTTCGCGATCCAACAAAGAGAATCTCAAGTGGTATCCTTGTTCTTTTTTAGTACAATATTGTCATTTTTAATACAACAGTATTTTACCATATCTAAATATTAAATAATAATAATTGAGATTCAACATACATTTGACATTTGGCATGCTACGTATATTATTAATTTTAACTTTTCCCGAGACTGTACGAGCCCCACTACTGTTTACTGCACATGCGCAGTATAACTTCGAAAAGGACAAAGGTACCACTTGAAATGCTCTCTCTCGGATTGCTAACAAAGGCGGTGAGGGTCCGCGCGCGTTCCAGTAGGTATTATATTTCAATGATTTTACCACAGATACATTGACAGTATCGATACTATTTTGATGCTACCACTCAGTACACTATTTTTAACAATTTCAGCATAGATGCGGTATTGAAAATCTACTTTTGTAAACAATCGCTTCTTTTTTTAACAAAGAGAACTATTTTTTTTTTTATAAAGAGTGATTTTTTGCAAAAATTTATTTTTAGTGAATCGATCCGGAGATCGCACATCCCTATTCAATAACGATTCACCCATTAATCAATAATATTTTTTAATGCTCTAGTCAGAGCCAGAACTAAAATATGGAACTCGTTTTTTGATATATGATCAGGACTTTGCCAGTATTCAATACTAATATATGAAATTCCCACGTGTGCTAGCAATGATTCCATTCTACCATTGTAATCAGTCACATCGTACAATCAATTCATTTAAATACAACTAAATCCTTGTCATTATAATAAATAAATTTATATTTTAAAAATAAATAAATTAAAAGGGCTAACCCTTTTAATTTTAATTTCAGGAAGGGATGAACTATCTCAACCAGGTTCAATAAACGGTTACGGAAATAATTCTGGGGGAAGTGGCGGCGGAGGTGGCGGAGGTGGTGGTAGCAGCAGTGGTGGCAGCGGTGGCGGAGGCAACGGGGTTGGAAGTGGTGAAGGACCTGATGCAAAGAAAAGAAAAGGTCCCACACCTCGACAACAAGAAGAATTGTGCCTTGTATGTGGCGATCGTGCGTCTGGTTATCATTACAACGCCCTTACATGCGAAGGCTGCAAGGGGTTTTTCAGACGAAGCATCACTAGGAACGCTGTATATCAGTGCAAATACGGCAATGGCTGCGAGATCGACATGTATATGCGCCGCAAGTGCCAGGAATGCAGACTAAAGAAGTGTTTAACGGTTGGCATGAGGCCGGAATGTGTTGTGCCCGAGTATCAATGTGCGGTAAAAAGAAAAGAGAAAAAAGCGCAAAAGGTAGATATCATATCGTACTATTCTATATATTTTTTCTGAGAATTATTTTTATAAGTTTGAAATATTTTTCTTCAGCAATTATTTGATGCAAAACATCTAATACTATGAATTTTAATGTAAAATATAAAATACTTTGTATAAAAAAGTATTATCCAAAAAATATTTATTTTTTGAACTTATCTTAATTCTTTTATATAAAATAATGCAATAAATCGGTTGGTATAAAGAAAGTACATATATAATTAAAAAAAAGTTATAATTTGCAATTGTATGTTTTTAAATATTTATTTTATTAATTATAATATTTATACTTCTATACTATTTAAATGAAATAGTAAATGCATTTTAAAAAATAACTATGTGTTTTCTTTATGTCTTGATTAATTAAATTTATTTTCTCTCTCTCTCTCTCTCTCTCTCTCTCTCTCTCTCTCTCTCTCTAATGATTTATATCATTATTTTATAAAGATTAAAACGATCAAAAAATGAATATTTTGTGAGATATTTCATACTTTTTATATTTATAAAAACGTCGGAATAACTATGAAATATCTTATAAGATGTTGATATTTTTTGTGACATTTTTATTCTATCGTAAAATATCATGAAAAAACAAATTATGTAAAAAATGTATATCTTGGCGTTTTTTATTAATTGAATCGTTTAAATGCATTGAATAACTAAGAAATACTTAATTAGAATTATTTAGAATTATTTAGAATTATTTAAATATTTTTGCAAGAAGAAAAGTATCTCTTAAATTGTTGACTTCTTATTGTCTTAACCCTTCAGTAGTCGCGTGGAGATCAAACTAACCCAGGTCCTAGATGCATGAACAAACGAACATTTCTTCATCGTGTTTTTGTTTGCGACACTAGCGCTTTTAGTATTCCTTCCTCCATATTTATTCTTGTATCTATAGCGAAGTAGCCCCAATAAAGCTAAAAAATTTTGGCAATAAATAACAGATTTTGTATTTTTTTTATCATTTTGATTTTTACGCGAGCATCTATGTAACTTTCTGTGGTTTAATTCAACATATTGTTTAATATTTTACTTGTATATTGGTGTTATTTTTATTGAATAATGTTCTCAACAGTAACGAAATATTAAATATTCTAAAGATGAGCGAGTAAAATCCATAAGACAACTTTAAAATATTTTTCAGAGTTCTTTACGAAACTTCTTAAAGATGTTTTTAAAAAACTCCTAAATATATCTTAAAGTTATGCGTCGATTTTAAACATTTTGCACATTGTAATTAAAAAAAGATTATTAATTACAAAAAAATATAGAAAATTACAAAATAATAAAGAACTTTTCGACTCAATTTAGTCCGCTTTACCTGCTCACGAGCGTTGTCGGGAAAGTTATTAGACATTTAGTACAGAAAAATACATTTTTACATGTATTAATAATATTTGCGAGAGATATTTCTTTGGTTTGAGCGGGCATTGAAAAAATAGTTGTGAGCGTTTCTTGATGACAAGCTAGATTGATCGTGTTTTGGAGTCTAATCTGACAGATTCGAGTTTGAATCAGTTGTTGACACGGACGCGAGTATCTTTTTCAAAACGATTATATTGATCGCGATGTAAACGGGTGTATATTTCAATTGTCCACATCATTAATTGGCTAATTAAAAATAATATCTCGTTGGTTAAACAATAAAAAATTACTAGGAACAGATTAATGTGAGTTTGTGAAATTGAACTGTGTGCAAGTGCACTCCTTGATTTGACATCCCTGCCCTGAACATTGTCGGTTGTCTAATTATTATATCAGTATGTAGTATCAAAATGAAAATTTAAGTTAAATAAAGTGTTTTTAACTTAATGACTAAATACTTTTGTATCAAATTACTATTTTTCTAATTTTTTAAAATTACCATTTTACCAGCCTCAAAAAATTACCGAGTAATTTACTGTAATTTACCGGGTAAGTTATTGTCAAATTGGGTAATTTTCATCTCTAAGCTGAAGCGATGGTCTTCGTCATTTCGCTTCAGCGATTCGTTCGCGCGATCAGCTCGAATTGCGGGAAGAATTCGCGTAACGGTGCCGCTTCGTCGCTCGTCGGATTCGGGTTTTAACTTATAGCCGAGTTCTTTGCGAAATTTAAACGCATCATCACGCACGCCACCCCTAGAATTAAAAGTGACTCCGTTTCTAAAAAAAAACTTATCTGGACATTTTATTGTGATCTGAGCTCCCGTAGTTTCCCTGGCAGCTGCACAAGCTCCTCGTCTCGCTGTTACAACCATGGTGGAAGAAGATAAGATGTAACAATTTCAGGGATGCGCAGTAATCAACCAATAGAATTGCTAGTTATCTTGCAAAAAGCAACATGGCTCCTTCCTGTCATTCTATCATCACATGTCATTATGTATTATAATACATAATTTATGAAGAAAAGGAAGAAAGGACTATACCCAGTTTTATAGGGGAATTTGGGCCCCGGAACAACTTTAAGACATACCTAAAATTTTAAAATATCAAAAGAGAATCAAAAATTCCATAAACCCAACTTTATAGGAGAGGTTTCCTGAGTGTTAGAACTATCCAAAGTTCGCTATTATGACCATGTATCACTAGTCTTATCCAATGTCTCTGCGTCCAGGGCTCCTCCCCACGGTGACGGCGGTAACGGATTGTACCAAAGACATTGAAGTAATATCTAAAATGTATTTCGTACAGTTCATTAATCCGGTTGACATCTATCTTCTTCCATTATGAACGCAACAGGTGAGTGCCATCTGCTGTTTAAAATGTGAAACGGACAACATTTCCAAGAACGATGATAACGTATCTTAAAAATTTGACATTTTGGACTTCGCATCGCGATATCTCTGTTTGTAGAGTACGTAGACAATAAAAAAAACATTTTAATTATATAATTTAAATCCGAGTTGTCCATTGAGACTACTCAGAATCGATCAACTTTATATTCGCAATGATCCGATAATCTCGAGTGCTCGCAACTCGTCGTTCGTGTAAAGACACGGGGCGGTCTCGCGCTAGCTACACTACCGTGTCTCTCACTACGTGCTTTTTGCAACTATTCGATTTTTTTCGCATATTTTCTTTACAAGTCTCAAGTCTCAAACATACGCATTTCTTTTCTGATGGCCTTTCGAAGATTTTCGTGAAGAGAAATGCTGGTTTATAATTTTTTTCCGGTAAAATTCTACTTCTACTGAACTATTCTTGCGACTCGAGTTCATGAAGGAGGTATATAACGCGCATGAAAAATCGTAAACAATTAAATATCTCGTAAACTGTTGCGTTTTAACATGATTTATACTATTCTGGATTAATGGAAGGTGTACACTATTACTACAATTTATTAAAATTTATATATTATTTAGAATGATCCTCGTCCCTTATCGATGCCGTGGGTCGCCAAGCGAATGAGATTGCATCTTCTTCTTCTTCCTGTTGATTGGCCCTGCAATCAATCGGACCGTTACTGGGCTATTGAGGTCTGCGTCATTAGGTGTGGAGTAGATGACAGGGCAGATGTGGTTTGCATATGATGCGAGCTTGTCACAACTTTCCTCCATTCAGACGCCTGCCGCCGCTTGACGGTAGCGGCGCACCAAAGGAGGGAGAGGGAAATTCAAAAGAAGAGATCAGCAGCCTTCATGAAGGCTGTGAAAAGCCTACATAATTTGGGGGGAGATTGGGATAGGAGAGAAAAGATGTCATCGGGGAAATTAGCAAATTTATCACGTAGAAAAGAATGAATGCGCTTTTGGGAATATAGGTCACACTCGTAGTCGATATTTTGATTTATTGCACCGCAAGGACTAGAAGGCGAATCTACAATGTTAACTCGGAATAGACTTTCATGAAGATTGTAGTGGTTAGATCTCAGCCGGTTGACCATAACAATTTCTTCCCTGTTGAGAGAAGTGTCTTCGAACCAAGTTTTCTTAGAGCGAAGTAAAGGGTTCCCTTGGTAGAAGCTGCTGTTTTGAGGTAGTTTTGGAACTGCAATGAAGTCTTACTTTTAGACTCACTGAGAAGGTCATCATGTGGCACGCGAAACTCGGGGGTAGAGCCATTAATTGCGGCCTCTTCAGCAATTGAATTGACGGTTTCGTTTCCTGAAATACCAGTGTGCGATAGGATCCAGAAGAGAGTGATAGAAGTACCTTCCTTGGAAGTGTTCCAAATAGTTTGTTTAATGTAGTTACGTTGGGAAGTGCCCTTGTTGCTGATTGCGTCCAGGGTGCTCTTGGAGTCGTTGAAGATGGTAACGCGGCTGTGTCCACATTCTCTGGGCAAGTAGAGTCGCTTGGTAGATCGCCCTGAGTTCCGCAGAAAAGATGGATGTTTGTGTAGGAAGTTTGTGAGCGATACCGATGTTCAGGTCAGGTGAGAATATCCCAGCTCCAACCGAGTTGCCAGGTTTCTTAGAACCATCCGTGAAGACGGAGATAGCATTTAGTCTGTAATTAAGAGATTTGTGTAAAAACTGTGCAACAATGAATCCTGGCGGGTTTCTTGTATCACAGTCTAGCATGACCTTGACATAGTTGATCTCGATGGAAAAGACTTCGAATTCGTGCCAGAAGACAGCTGGATAATTTTTTCCTCGTGTCTGGAGGGAACATATGCCTTGAAAAGACTGGATCTTTGGATGGCTTCTACTTTAAGGTTTTTGCTGGTGGTGACCAAATCCATTTGCTTTAGGGCTAAATAAGTAGGGCTGAACTTGTAGGCCATAGACTTATATATGTATCTAGAGATGGAGAGAGTAAATCTTTGGTACAGTGGGAGTTCCCTTGCTTCGCTTAATATGATATTGATAGATGTTGATATTCGATATCCCATGGCCCTTCTGATAGCTTTATATTGCTTGATAAAGCCTGAGCTTGATAAAGTCTGAGGACTGGGTATTCCATGAGAAAAATTGGAAGCCATATTCGATTGAACTTCTGAGGACAGAGCGGTAGATGGTGAGTAACAGACCAGGATGTGAGTCCCATTTGACCTGATAAAGCCGTGTTGATATTAATGATGTTTTGTCCTTCGTTGATAAGATATTTGAGGTGAAGTTTGCTATTAAGTTTATGGTCCAATATAATATACTCCGAAAAAACGGTGCAAATATACCCTGGGGATTTCCGTATTGTCGACAGTTAGAGAAGAAGTAGGGGTAACTTTTTTGCTTTATGTGAAGATGGTTCATTTAGAATAAACGATAATAAACGAGAATATTGATGATAAAATGATGTCAGAGTGACCCAAGATGTTTCTGAATGCTTTGGGTAAGTTATATCTGAAGTTTTTGAACGCTTAAGGTATAACTTATACCTTAAGCGTTCCAAACACACTAGAGCATTCCAAAGATATCTAGGCATAATTCTTGAACGCACCCCAATAGAAATAAGACGTTATTTTTTCCAACTTTTTTTGTTATTTTACAACTTTTTTGTAAATACAATATACTACATTATAAACTACTGTGTCATTTCATGTCTTATTTTGAAATATTATTCGTAAATTTTTCACGAGCCGTATATTTTAATTATGAGTAGCTGCACATTTCCTACAGAATATTCAGAAAAAATGCAACAGATTATAAAGCGTTTTTTTGATATAAAAAATAAATATTTCAGATTCTTAATATTTTTTTCATAGAAGTAGACAATATAAAGTTTTTGATATAGTTCATTTACCCTGTAAATATAGTAAATAGATTAAATATACACATAAATTAAGTTTTTGATATATACGGCGTATACATCAGAGTTATCCTATAATGATAAATATTTGATTGTACAAAATGTGTTTTATATTAATTTAACATGTTTCAAAATCATTTTTTAATCATATTTTATGTGGAAGATTTATTCAAATCTAATAAGTATTTTAGATAATAAAACATTTTTTTTTTAATATATGACTTTAATTTGAAGGGGTTTTTTGATCTTTTACAGAGTTAATTACTAGAAATTATTATCAAAAATAATTTATTTTTGGTAAATATAGAAAATACTTAACAAGAAGTTGCACTAAAAGTATTCAAAGGAACATATCAAACGGTAAACCGCAGAGAGCATTGCGATGTACAGATTTAAGGCATTACTGAACATTACTTAAAAGAGTTATTGTATAATAAGCGTGTATTATAATAAGCAATATAAGGTTATGCATTAATGGGCATAAAAAATTTGGTGTTACTGACAATGAGCAATTGATGTACACAATTTTAATCAGCGGTTTATCCCTCGGAGCAAATATAATGGTAAAAGAGAGTATATAGAATTTCTTGTAAATTGTATTTCTTGGGAGATAGCAACATTAATATTTTAAAATTGATTTATATGGTTTGTATATTAATTTGATGCTTCGAATTAATCTGTACATAAGTAATAAAATAAAATTTTTTAAAGTCAATAGTTTACAAGATATATTTTTTTCTATACTTTTGGCATACTTTTTCTATACTTTTGCGAATTATTTTTTGTTTTCAAAAAATAATTCGCAAAAGGTTTATTCATTGTTTACTTAATTTAATTGTATTTTTATACTAGTACGCATAAAATAAGGTGAATTAATTAATGTAAAGAAGAGATAAATATATGTATATACTTACTCTAGAGAAAAATATGTAATTGCACATTAGAGAAATTTTATGTGCAATATTTACGGTATCGTTGGCATTCATGTTATCGTATTAAATATACCCAGAATAGACTCCCAAACGATCAATTAAAATTTTTTACATTCGTTTTGTGGAATTATCTTGTACAAATAATTATTTGTAAAAATTATATATAATTTTTCTTTTATTTTTGTACTTTTGTTGTACTGTGATTATTTAAACAAAAATATGTAATGTATATTGCTAGTGTACATGGTGTAAACAATTCCCATTTCTTAAAAATATAGAGTAAAGGTAATTTGGTGGAATTTCAATTTCAGAAAGCTGTACAAATTATTTTGCATGGAGACACGTTTAATTTACACATTTAATTTCTTAGATTTATGGAGCTTTTCTATTATGGAGCTATTTATATATCTGTCTTAATATATTCTGTAGGAAAAAGATAAACCAAACAGTACGACAATGAACGGTTCACCAAGCAGCGCTGGAATGGGCGATCAAATGGGCGTCAAAATTGAACCAGCGGAAGCCGAGTCGTTATCCATGTCCGGAAGTAGCGGCATTCTCACTCCTATCAGTCCTTACACCTGCGTTAAGCCTATTAGTCCTGAACAGGAAGAACTGATAAATAGGCTCGTGTCTTTTCAATGTGAATTCGAACAACCGAGCGAAGAGGATCTGAAAAGAATTACTGTATGTGTTATATTTTATGTTTCATATATACTACAAATTTTTATTCTGAATTATTTATCTTCTTAATATATTAATATATAGAAGAAAAATACACTTAAGTAGTAGTAGTAGTAGTAATTTTATTGATTCCTCTCAGGGATACAATTCCAATACTTTTACATCCAGTCTTATCTCTAATCTTACAACTAATTTTAAACCTAATTTACAATTAATCTAATTCCGAACACACACCCACAGCCGGACCTCCGCTTTCGTCGCAAGTTGCTCATACTCTTCCTTCCATTCCTTTCTCTCCCCTCCCATCCCTTCCCTCTATCCTCCCTAACCCTGTATCCCTCCCTCTCTCCTCCAATATCTTCACTCTCTCCTCTATCGTCTATTTTTCTCTCCCCCCCCCTCACCTATCTTTCCCTCCTCCCATTTTTCCTCCAACATCTCAATTCTTTTTCCCATTTTCTCATACTCCCTTCTCCACTCTTCCTCTCTCACCCTTATGTCTTTTAGTTCCTTCTTAATCTTCCCCAGATTATCCTCCATCTTATTCCACCTCTCTTTCATTTCCTCCATCCATCCTTTTAAGGGGCTTCGCACAATAAAAGGAACAAAGAACAGAATAAGAATTTCAACCTATCAGAAATCATGTATTGTGGAATACATAGTGTGTATTATTCTTTTATTCTCTGTTCTCTGTTCCCTGTTCCTTTTATTGTGCGGAGCTCCTAATATATCCAAAATATGCCCCCCTTCTCCCCTGCATTCTTTATAGGTGATCTCCGTCTTTCTACTTTTCCCAAAGACATAGAGAATGGACTGCGCGATCCGTATCTAAGTAGTGTACCAGATGTGGTCGACAATAATGAGAGAGAGGGACCGTGCGAGACGGTCAATCTCCCTCTCATTCTCTTTCCCATTACACCATTGAATGGAAAGAGAAATGGCCGTCTGCCACGGTCCCTCTCTCTCATCCCTATCGACAATTTTGACACACGGATTGCGCAGTCCATTCTCTATATCTTTGACTTTTCCTAACTATTTGCTTCTCTCCTATTTTCCTCCCTACCTCATCTTCTCCCCCCTCTCTCTTCCTTTTAACTTCCCCGCTACTCACACTTCCGAATCTCCCTCTATTTCCCATCATACCTTCTTTCTCTTCACCACTTCTCCAATCACTCTCATTGGACGTCATCTCTCCTTCCTATCTCCCTTCTCTGTGTTTCTTCACTTGCTTCGTACCTCTGCTCTCTTCTCGCTCGCTCACCCCTCTACCTACTGCGTATTCTCAGTCCCACGCACGTGCTTTATTCTCTATGTTTCCTCTCTACACTAAAGCTTACTCCCAGCCTTGCCTTCTCGTTCCCGCACTCACACCGTTCCCTTCTCCTTCCCCTTCTTCCTCCTCTTACACCTTTTACTCTCTTTCTAACCTCACTTCTTTCCACTCACAAGGGACCATCTCGGTTTGTACAACAAGTTAATGAAAATTCTTGATATCACTAAAAGTTGACAGCATAAGATGTAAATTAAGGGAAATGGCGGGAGCGTATAGGTCGTAGGTTCCGAGAAATTTAGTATTATAGTGCATGGTAAAGGTTCTAGAACGGTTAATATCTCAAAAAATGTTGATTTATCTAAAAAATGTTTAAAACGAAAGTAATAGGGTGTTAAAAAAGTTATCAGATGATGATATTAATTTGACCTTGAAAAGTGCTTTCAAGATTAACACAAAAATCTTAAACGAAACTCCCTATTTTTCATAGTATATCTTTATAGCTGACGTTGAGACGTTTCCAAAACACTGGTTACAAACCTTTTCTTCATAAGAACTTTCCGAGTTATGGCATTTAAAAGTTACAGTACACACACAAAGTAAGTTACACGCACGCGCAACACACACACACACACACACACACTCTCTCTCTCTCTCTCTCTCTCTCTCTCTAGGCTGACAAGAAAAAAAACAGTTTTTTTAAAATCGGCTTCTCAGCTCAAAAGCTTCCATTTCATGCCACAAGAACATCCCTAAATTTTTATCAAAAGATATTAAGATTTAGAGATCGCTAGTGAACAATTTTTAAATCAAAGTTTTGATTTTCCTTAATATATGTTTGATTTGATGCAAAGATAGCTTAATCCAGATTTTAAATGTGGTACAGTATATTTTTTGCACATGCGCGCGTGCGCACACACTTCTATTTTAAATACAAGGGTCGTCTGAAAAATTTTGAGCCTAACATAGAAACAAGTAATTTTTCGATCAAATTCAATTTTATTTTTCCACATAATCTCCTTTTAAGTCGATACATTTTTTCCAGCGATGGTCCCACCCTTTTAATACATTCAAATAATACTGAGCATCTTGCTTTGCAAAATAGGCGTCTATGAATGCGATGACCTCCTCGTTCGACGAAAATTTCTGCCCTCCGAGCCAAACTTTGAGCCTAGGAAACAGAAAAAAGTCGCTGGGGGCCAGATCTGGTGAATACGGTGGATGGTCAATTAATTCGAACCGCAATTCGTGAATTTTTGCCATAGCGACCACCGAAGTGTGAGACGATGCGTTATCTTGCTAGAACAGCACTTTCTTCTTTTTCAAATGCGGTCGTTTTTTCTCAATTTCTGCCTTCAGCTTGTCAAGCAATGATACGTAGTACGTTCCTGTTATTGTTTTACCTTTTTCATAGTCGATCAACACAATTCCATGACTGTCCCAAAAAAAAGTCGCCATCACTTTCCCGCCGATAAAACCGTCTTCGCTTTCTTCGGAGCAGGTTCACCCTTCGCAGTCCACTGTTTTGAATTTTTTTGATTGTTCTTTCGTTTCAGGAGTGAAGTGGACCCCAAGTTTCATCAACCGTTATTAATCGACGCAAAAAATCCGACTCGTTTCGCTTAAACCGCTCCAACAAGGCCTTAGAAATGTTCATTCGAATGCGTTTTTGATCCAGAGTGAGCAAGCGCGGCACCCAACGCGCGGTTAACTTACGTATGCCTAATTCTTCAGTCAATATATGACAAACACGTTCTTTTGATATGCCAACAGCCTCTGTTATCTCCCTAATCTTAATTCGACGGTTGTCCATTATCATTTGATGAATTTCTTCGATGTTATCGGTGGTGGTCGCAGTTGTTGGCCGTCCCGAACGCTCATCATCAGCTAAGCTGGTACAACCACGTTTAAATTCAGCTACCCATCTTTTCACGGTGGCAAATGATGGGGCAGAGTCCCCGTAAACAGCGTCCAACTCGACTTTAATTTGCGTAGACGTATTGCCTTTCAAATGCAAGAATTTAATTATAGCACGATATTCAATTTTTTCCATTTTTACAAAATGACACAAATGATTGTAAAACAAGAACTAAACTTCCAAAGTGGCCACAATTGTCACAGATATCTTCCGTAAGTATCACGATTATAATACCAGAATGGCTTTGACCAGTAACGCCATCTTCATGATGAGGCTCAAAACTTTTCAGACGACCCTCGTATATGATATTGCAAATTTTGCCATTTTTATTTTATTATGGCGTCTTTCTGATGTTTGTTGTATAATTAAAAGATTCTATTTTTATAATGCGAATTCCTGTAAGAATGTCGATCTTTAATGGTGTCTCGTCGGTTGATCCAACTAATCTAGTAATCGTTCCACTTCATTACAAGATACTAAGAACACTCATGACATAAAACAATTTAAATAATATGTGTTCATCTTTACCTTTGCCCTATTCGCGACTTGCACAATAATAAAACTAGGGTACCCTGAGGTTAATGTTAAGAACTCTAGTAATGTTGCATAGTCTAGTGAAAGTAGTGAATATAACTAGAAGTTTTGTAGATTCAACAGAAAGATATAAAACAAATCTTCAGTATAATCTATCAACTGTTCTGGTTGTAAAATTTTAAATTCTACCAAATGACCAGAAATTGTTTAATTTAACCAAAATGCGTTCAACCGTATACGTCTTGTTTATATAAACAAACCATTTTTCTCAATGTGCTATTATACTTCATTTATTTGTATTATTCTATTTATAGTATTGTATTATAGATTCCTAATTTTATGTTTAATTGTTAATTTTCTGTTTGTGTACAGGGGTACAAAAAACACACTCCAGGCTAATAAAAACGTAAATAAAAGTTGCTGAATGGAAATTAAAGTTTTTTTAGGAATGCTCTCTATCTGTCATATGTTTCACACACAATTTTTATATGTTTTACATAAAATTTAAAAAAACTTCATTGAAATTGGTGACTTTTAATATAGTATTGTGGCTTTCAAGAACACCTGAGCATTTAACCGTGTACAGATGTGTATATTCATTCCAGTACACTCCAAATAAAAAAAATACAAAAAGATACTTACGCAGCCAAAGTTATTTCTTTCCATTTTTTACTAAAAATGAGTGGGGTGTATTTGAATCCTTGTACACGGTTAACGTTAAAATATTTGTACATAAATATAAGGCTAATGTGATAAATAATGTTGCATTTGATATGAAATGTTTTGTTTTTTAGAATCAACCAATGGAAGGCGAAGATCCGAGTGATTACAGTTTCAGGCATATTACTGAAATCACGATTCTGACTGTTCAATTGATCGTCGAATTCTCAAAGAGATTACCCGGCTTTAATGAGTTGTTACGTGAAGATCAAATCACTCTACTGAAAGCATGCTCTAGTGAGGTGATGATGCTACGGATGGCAAGAAAGTATGATGTGCAAACCGATAGCATCATTTTTGCTAACAATCAATCGTATACACGTGACAGTTATAATGTTGCCGGAATGGGAGAGACCATTGAAGACCTTTTGCGATTCTGTCGACAAATGTATGCTATGAGAGTTAATAATGCTGAATATGCTTTGCTCACAGCTATTGTCATCTTTTCAGGTATGTATAAAAAATATAATAACGTTTTGCGTCAAATATATCAGGTATTCAAATAAATGCGATTTTTAGTTTAAATATTTATTCTATGAATCATTTCGTATTGTAAATCCAGAAAACACGCATATCTAAAAAATATCTTTATGACTATCTGGGTAAAAGTTGACAGCGCAAAAAGGACAATGGGTAATGATTGCGAATTAGTAGATAGTTCTTATAATAAATATAAGTTAGGATTAAGAAAATTATAAAAGTAACTTATTATCGTTTTCTTTTTCTGAAGAATAACTCGTTATTGATTTAAAACAGTAACCTTATCTTTATTCACACTCGTCATTTATTGTTCTTCGCCCACTCTCGTGAGCACATTTGTGTTTCACACTTTTATTAAAGAGTCACGTCATATCGTAATAACGAGAGTTTTGAACCAAAATTTACAAGGGAAGGTTCACAACTGTCCGGAACCGATTTGATTCTCCATGAAATATGTTGTTAAACACGAAAATCTAAGAGACACGTATTTTTTTATACGTACCCTAACTCATGTTTAAGGGGTAAAACACCCCTTTGAAAGAAAAGCGGTATTTTTCTTTCGAGGCGAATATCGTCGAAAGTATAAAAGATAGAAAAAAATTTTTTAAACAGAAATTGTACGGTTTCAAGACTACTTTAAAGATATAAAGAAAAAAAAAAATTTTTTTTTTTTAACAAAATACCCCCACCACCCATTTCTAAAATCTTAAATTTTCAAATTTTTTGTTTATCAAATTAAAGATTATTTTTTTATGAATTCAACCATGTGTAATAAAGTTAACACGTGTGTTATATTACAATTATATTGTCGAGTGGGAAATTACAACGGGTACGTTACACGTAACTTTGTGTTTGCTGGGTTTATATTTGTTTAAGCTGTGTGTGTGTGTGCGCGCGTGTGTGTGTGTGTGTGTGTGTGTATTAGACTGACAAGGAAAACAAATTTCTTTTAAATCGGCCTCTCGGCTCAAAAACTTTCAAAAAATCATCCCTAAATTTTTATCAAAAAATATTAAGATTTAGAAGTCGCTAGTGAACGATTCTTAAATCAAAGTTTCGATTTTCTTTAATACAAAATGATTAGATAAAACAGGGCAATAGGAGTTAAGCACGATAATTCTTGTGCAAACCAATATGGTTAACAAAACCACTTTATTAATAATTAACTCGCTTAATTTCTTTAATACATGTTTGATTTGATGCAAAAATGGCTTAATCCTGATTTTAAATATGGTGCTGTATGTTTTTTTGGTTGCTGAATACGATGCAATAATTGATTTAGTTCTACGATATACGCTTTAAGAAATACAGCCCGATTAATTTGAAAAAAATGACAAAATTTTGAGTCCGAGATTTTTTTTTCTTGTCAGTCTAAATTATATATTTATGTATGTTATACAAAATTATATATATATATATATATATATATATATATGTATTGTATAATTTCAAGAATAATATTTCTACCATAGAATTACTTTTTTTATTTTTTAAATAAAATTGTATAACATATAAACGTAAATTAATTTTTTTTTATGATCTTGATGGTATCGATGTTAGGGAAGATCCCTATTGCGATGAAAAATGCAATAGTGGGCCCACTTCAACGTTGCAGAACGGAGTGTTACCAAACGAACGTTTGTAATTGATTAACCGCATCGGCTGTCAATCTGCGATTATTACTGCGGTGGTTGGTCCACGCATAGATCACGATTTTCCTACATAAGGAAGCATCGTTAGCGATACACGCTTCTTCTTTTTATTTTCGCGTAGCGAGATGATCAAAAACATAGCCGAGTTCTCTCATCAGTAAAGTTCTCGACTAATATTGTACGTGGGCGTTCAGGCATGACTGGAAGGTTGCCATCTTCGTGATAGACAGGAGAAAACTTGTATGGGCGGTTAACAAATTTGAACCATTTGAGGCTCCTGGATGTGATGAAATAATATCGGCTATGCTACAAGAAGAATTATGTATTCTGGCTAACAGACTTATCGTTCTGTTTAAAGTCAATCTAGCTCTGGGATACATTCTAGAAACTCAGGTAAAAGTGGTTTTTATATCAAAACTGGGTAAAGACAGCTACGACCAGACGAAATCTTTCCGGCCAATCAGTCTACACGCAGAGAAAAGATTAGCCAACGCAGTTAAAATATAGCTGTGGCAGTTAAAATGTGTTCTTATAATAGGGACAGCTAATGTCATTGTTGCCAAAGCCCAATTTATTATCTGCTAAAATTTAGGCGCTACAGCGAAAAATATTCACTGCTACAGTAAAATGATGTTCAGCTGAAGATATTAAGATAATTTCTTTTTGAAACAGAAACTAATAATATTTGTAGCAAAATTAAGAATCTTAGCTGATATTATATGCATATATATATATATATAAGTATATATAAGGTTTGTTCGCGTCGCATGCTCCATGTTCCAACATACTCCTACCATAGCTCCTACTCACTCCAACGCGCTTGATAGAGTAAGTAGGAGCTATAGTAGGAGCATATTGGAACATATTGGAGCATGCGATGCGAACAAACCCATATACACATATGTGGCGTATCCCCATTCGTTGTCACGTTGACCGCTTTTAGTTCGACCTATCCGGGTCATAGCACAGGTGGCGCTGAAATTGTCTTCCTCCTTTCTAAGAGGGGAATTTGCACACCCTAGCCCGCAGAACTTCTTCGTGCTTTCGATCCCCTCTCACAGAGTATATCCACCCATAACTATAATAATAATAATTTTCTTTATGCATACGTTTATGTGGCTATGTAAGTTGTATGGATATACCATGACAGATACACCTTACACGCGTGCGCGAAACTAGAGAGAACGCCAAGTGAGTGGGTCCTTTTCTAAATGAGGACTACTCCCCACTCCTCGAATGCGCAGTCTAGAGATACTATGTGCACTTAACGCAATTCGAAACGCATCCATAATCTAGTATGGGCAGTTCCTGTACGTCGCTGTTATCGTTTATGCCTACTGCACACTGGACGCAATGGGCGATGAGTGATGAGCCATATTCAATAAAAGCTCTGCTTTTTTTTCACGTGACGATGCAAAGCAAAGCATATTGCATATAAACTTTCTTTTCTGATAGATGTCAAAACGCTTGTGTATACATATAATTAAGTGAAGCTGAACAAAAATTTTCCTATTTTGCAAAAAAGAAGTTGTATAAAAGAACATAGTCTAAAGTCGTGTTTTGCCTACTAATACAAAAGTACAAAATAGTGAATCTTATAAATTTCGACCTGTTGAACATGATGGTGTTATTAGCTTTCATTGAAAATTCGGGAGATATCGTCGTTTTTCGAATTAAAGTCCTATTTTTCATCCTCTTGGTAATATGCATTATTTCAATATGAATGAATTATTTGAACCCCCTAGTTGACAAGTGGCATAAGTCCAAAATTAGGAAAAATGTGTCTGTTATAGAAGCAGAAAGTATTAAGAATGTTTGTTTTTTATCTATCAATTTAATTTACTATTATTTTGTTTTTATATTCATAAAAAATCAAAATCAATTTTATATCGTACATAAAGTGACCATAAAAAAAGCTGAACTTAAGTCACTATTCCAGCTTTTTTTACGGTCACTTTATTTATGATGTAAAATTGATTTTTATTTTTATAAATTAATAACAGTGTTCACACAGTGTAGGTTGAAATCTATATAAGATTCACTATGTTTTGCATTGTTGTATTAGTTGGCAAAAAAACGACCTTTTTTAGACTATGTTTTTCAGTTATTAATTAAAAAATATTGACAATCAGTGATCGCTCTCCAAGCGATATTAAATTCTGCACTGCACTCGGAAGCGATTATTCACCAATGTTTTTTAATTAATAACTATATTTTATATGGCTTTTTTTGCGAAATAGTAGAAAAATTTTATTTTTTTAATTTTCCTTTTTTTCTTTGGTAAAATTATTTTTTAGTGTAATAGAAATAATAATAGTAATGTGAAAACATAAAAAATAATTAAAGGGATAATTTTCGCACTGTTTGTTTTAGAAAAAAAAAAGTATGGAAAAATGTGTAAAAAATTGCTCATACATAATTATGCATAATTTTATATATAATTATACGTAAGTAATTTTTTTACATTTCTTCAAACTTGATTTTTTCTAAAACAAACAATGCGAAAATTATCCCTTTAATTATTTTTTATGTTTTCACATTACTATTATTATTTCTATTACATTAAAAAGTAATTTTACAAAAGAAAGAAGGATGTATGAACATATTTCATATACATATAGCAAAAATATGCCATATATGATCCCATATATTGTTATATATAATTACATATGATTTTATATAATTATACATACATATATAAATATATACAGGATATTTGGAAATTAGTGATAAGTCTTTCGCACAGGAGCAGAATGGACTAAACTGAGAAGAAAAGTCCTCTACCATTTTACAATTGTCGCAATGATCAACGAGTTATGAAAATAGCCAAATTCGCCCAGCCCACCGTCAAATGCGAGAGCGCGACAGGATAGGACTGCCCATGATGTAAGAATATAAGGTGTTTCATTGCACATGTAGGCGGGGCCAAAAATAGAGCAGCCAATCAAAATTTAGCCCCAAATGCAGCGCGAAATTCAAATTAAGTATTATACATAATGTGAATAAAAGCTTAAAAAATATATAAAGTTTTCATAATAGTGAATAATAATAAGTTTGCTTCTTTCAGGGCAAATATGTTCATGTATTGATTTGAAATTAATGTTAAATACACATACGTACTACTATAAAAAACCGTAATTGTACAACAAATTGTTTGGAAACGGTGTACTTGTCATAGATATGAATAACATTAATACATGAAGAAATACGCAATAACCTTATTTTTCTTTTTTATTTTTTAAGATATAATAGAAAACTCGATTCTGTAAGAACAAAATATTAAAGAATTATCACAGTAAATTAGGACTAATCAAGCCCTCAGCCAATAGGTTAGGTGACTGTTAGAATAAGGAATAAGAACGATCCTCCCTCAGCGGAATGACGCTACCACGACCGTCGACGATTAAGAACGGAATGGAATCCAAGTAATATCACTTAACATGTAACTTACCCTGTAAATTCGGTTACAAATCCTGTTGCGGATCATAGATGAAGCCATATTTTTTGCATTTGAGGCAACTTTCTGATGAAGCCATGTTTTTTTGCATTTGAGGCAACTTTCTGATTGGCCAACACTGCGCATCTCGGGAGTGAAACACCTTATATTCTTACATCATGGGACTGCCCAGCGCGATGAGGCGCGCGTTCGCCGTCGCTAGGCACGTAATGCCTAGCGACAGCAATTGCCGCTTATAAACAACGTGCGGAGCGGGTACTATCCTGTCGCGAGCTTGTATTTGGCGGTGAGCTGAGCGAATTTGGCTATTTTCATAAGTTAATAACTCGTTAATCATTGCGACAATTGTAAAATGGTAGAGGACTTTTCTTCTCAGTTTAGTCCATTCTACCCCTGTGCGAAAGACTTAAGAGCTTCACACATGAAATGCATAACAGAGCATAAGCATAACATAAGACTGCTGGACAATGAGCATCTACCATAATGTCGCCTTATTGATTTACATAAGATGCTCATTGGTTTAAGCGGGGAGCACAGACTCTTGCATAACGCATAACACATGAGGCATAAGAAATTGAACCAACCAGAGTTCTCTATTATATGGAAGGGAAAGAAACGGAGAACTTCGATTGGTACATATTCTTATGCATTACGTGTTATGCGTTATGCAAGAGTCTGTGCTCCCCGCTTTAGCCTTATGTTATGCTTATGCTCTGTTATACATTTCATGTATGAAACCCTTTATTATTAATTTCCAAACACCCTGTATAATTATATGTATACAAAACTTTTTCCCCGGAATCTCTGTTAACATCTTAAAACTCGTGTCATTCTTTTATAAGCGTTTAATAATCGTTTCTTCTTCCTGATACGAACCTGATCTTATTCCTGAAACTTTCCAACGAGCTATTTCGCGAATAAGATCAACGATTGTTTAATTTTTTTTACGATTATCTAACCTATTTATGAATTACCGGCTGTTTATCTATTCTACTTTTCACAAAAATTACGAATGACATCAATATATAAGAAAGTAATTTGTACTATTAGGATTTTTATTCAATAATTTTTAATTGCCGTTTTAATAATGTTCCGCATTCATTAAATTTTAATTCTATTTGAACATTGAGAATGACCCGATGGAAGTTGAGAAACATCTGTTATGATTTTATAATTTCTGTGTTTGTTAATATATATATAGTATTAAACATCCAATTTAGATTCGCCGTCCCTTCTTTTGTATTTATTTAATATTATATTAATATGGCGAACCAAATATCAATAGATATAATTAGAGTCCGACCGAAATTTCAGTTTCGGTCAATTTCGGTAAAAAATCAATGTTTCGATTTGATTTCGGTTTCGGCCGAAATTAAGAAGAAATTTCGGTGGGTAAATCGAAACTATACAAATTGCAACGCTCCAGTTAGCGTTCAAAAAACAACTGTTCGATTTTAATTATTAACTCGTTGATTAACTTAAGACAATTTGAGTACAAACTTTGATATGATCCTAATAATAACTGTAATTTGATTTCTTTAAAAGTTGAGTGTGCAATATTATTATATTATTATAGTTAGATATTTTAATAAAATCTCGTTTTTTAAAGAGTATATAAATTTGTCATGATTTCTGAAAATAATACGTAAATCTCTGTAAAATTAATCCAAAAAAGTCGGTTTCAACTCCAGCCGAAAAAAATGTAACTCCGTTAGCTTAACGTTCTCTTACTCTCTCTCCTTCTTTTTTTTGTAAGACTTATCTAACTTATCTAAGTTTCGGTTTCGGTTTCGTTTTCGGCCGAAATTGAATGACAACCGAATATTTATTTTCGATTTCGACCGAAGGACAAAATTTGGTTTCGCGATCGGACTCTAGATATAATACATCTCTGTTAAATTATATTGCAATTTACAATGACATAACATTGTTGCAATAGAAAATTCTGTGCTGTATGTAATAATGGTTATTGCTTTGCAGAAAGACCCAATTTGTTGGAAAGCAGAAAAGTGGAGAAACTTCAAGAAATCTACTTGAAGACTCTGAAAGCATATGTGGATAATCGTCGTCGACCGAAGTCCGGTACGATCTTCGCTAAACTTTTATCAGTTCTAACCGAACTCAGAACCCTTGGTAATCAAAACAGTGAAATGTGCTTGAACCTGAAATTTAAGAACAAGAAGCTGCCACTTTTCCTCGCCGAAATCTGGGACGTGGTGCCCTAGTTTCCCTGTCGCCGATTAATGGCGATAGCGCCGGTCGGCTGAATAAATCTTTTGACGTCGCAGTAGCAGCAATAGCAACAACGACGTCGATGGACGCATGGACGTGGAAAACGGCCTGCGTAATTCTTATACTAGTGCACCATTATGCCACTGCCTCAACATCGCAAGTCAACATATTGTATTAGTGCTATTTTAGATTTATTTTGATCATTTGTTTTTTCTTGATTGACCATCTTTAGTCACCCTAGATTGATCGATCCTCATATGGCTTATAAGGCAAGCATATGTAAACCGGTCCCACATTATTCGCGTGAGACTTATGTGTGACGCAAAGAAAGTCATTGTATTCTTTATAAAGATTCTTTGTAGATTTATGTATATATGATACTGCAAAAAAGGAAAGTTATAAATGTGTGAAAATGATTAATGATAAAATATACATTTGAAAACAAAAGTATTGATCAAGATACACACGATTAAATATTTTTAAATATTGTGATTAGAAAGATTTGATTCAAATCAATAATCATTATAATCAAATAAAATAAAATACAGAAGATGATGAATGAGATAAATACTCTGGTGCGCCAGCATTACTGGCGTTCCAGCATCTATCTCACGCTTCATCTTTTTCATTTCATTCCGTAAGAGACTAGAGTGAGGGAAGCGTTTAGGCTTTGGAGCTAAAATTGGACATGTCTGCTTTATACTTTATTAATGATTCAAAGAATATATCTGTATGATTCATGAAACTATCGTTTTTTGTAGATCTTTTGAAGGTAACCATTTATCACACACACACACAAATCTGTAACTTTTATAATTTTCATATATTATGATTATTTAAATTGAAACAGTTATACTTACTTAATCGTACCAATACCTTTTTTTATTCATATAATCGCAAATATTATGTCGCTTGCGTTAAATTTACGTGAACCGTGTGGGATTGGTTCAAAAACGCGGAACAGGAAAGGCCTCGCACATTAAAGATACACGCAGAAAATTAAAGATACACACATGTTCCAAATAGGAGTAAGGAAAGGAATGGGAATAAAAATATTTCGTTGTAAGAAAAAGGCAGTGGCGCGGCCCAGGCTGTGATACATAGAGAACAGAGGTTGAAGGTATATAAAGAAAGCTACCTGCAATTTACATTTTATCGCTATTTCCTCTACCTGGATACATCCTTACACACAATCGATATGTAAATGTAATGTATTATATAATAAGGTATTGATATATTTGAAGAATGTGTGTTGTCACATTTGTCATTCATGAGAAAATGAATAGCAGCAAGCGCGGTTAATATAAGAAAGGGAAAAGATAGAAAATTATGTTGGCAGGATGAGACTAATTGTAAAAAATCGTGAATGATCGCGAAGAAATGATTTAAACAATCGCCGATGTTGCTGACGAAGAGCAACAAATTCAAAGATTAAAATCTGTAGTTATCAATAACAGCATTTTTCCAGATATTGATCTTAAAAAAAATTTAAAGGAATGAAGTCCTTAACGTATATAACTGTTAAGCAGCTTCGCATAAATGAAACGCGAAAAAGAAAAAGAAAAGAAAATAGATATGATATATATAACAATAGCATAGAGTCTATATCACTCATACAGCATAATATATCTTGCTAGCATGTGCATTGTTTATACTAGACAGAAGGAGAAAGAGTGTAGGGAATAAGCGTGTGTATGCGCGCGTGTGTATGTAAAAAAGAGAGAGAGGAAAAGGGAGGGAGAGAGAAGGAGAGACTTGAGTGAAAATAAATAAGAAAGAAAGATTGGAAAGGATCTACACGTCAGCAAGATGGCGCGTCTGTGTATTAATATCTTTATTAATACAAACTACATAAGATGTACAGGGCGTCCCTAGAAAAAAAAGGAATGATATTATCTTCGCAAAAGACATATTTTTTTAAGATACACTGTGTGAATATATATAAATGTTATTTAAATATTATGAAACAGGAATTTTTTTGAAATGTATTATTTTCTTAAGGAATATAGAAATATTAATATATAAATAATATACAAAAAACAAAATAGAACATTTGCTAAATGTAATTGTATGCTATATGACTTCATTTTTTTAACATCTCGTTATAGCAGAAACTTTTATTAAAATGCATTTTTAGTAAATAAAAAGGAAATGTATGGGACGTCCTGCAAAGATGTGCGAAGAAATATAATATTCATAATGAATATAACTGATGTTTTTTTGGGGTGGGAGGGCAAATGGTATAGATCTCTGAATGAACTGTTTTCAAACAGAAATATGGGAAAACGCATATTTTTTTTATTAAGGAATGAAAATATATATTTTAAGTAAATAAAGTAAATCAATTTTGAATGTTTGTTAAGTCGAAAATTGTATAGTGAGTAATAACGCAGTACAAATTCACTAGATATCGCATCTGTTATACATTTACAATTATTTCCTATTCTATATATTATTGAAGAAAATTAAATTAAGAACATATGGTGCAAAAGAAACTAAAAATCTGAAAGTAAACAAGACTAAAAAAATTAAAAATTTCGGAATTATTCCAACATATTTATTATGTAGACTACAATTTTCGATGGAATGAAACAATTTAAAATTGGTTTCCTTTATCCGTTAAACGATCGAAGATTAAATTTTATAAGATAGTTAAGTAATGACGAATGAGATGCATGATATGGTTGAGATGAATCGATTATTTTTCGTTCTAATTCGGTGGAAATTTGAAAGCAATCTGACGAGGGAGCGTAGCGATCGATTGATAATTTAGAAAAAACAGTAATGTGTAGTTTAAAAGTGATGAAATTTGTCGAATTGAATTAATTCTCGAGCGATTGCACTTTTAAGAAAATAGTCAATCATTTGAAATGTGCTGTTATTTATTATTACATTAACATGGTCTATCAAATGACAGATTTGTATAATACTCTTCAAAATAAGTCTTTAACTTCAAATATTTATATTATTTTTATTAAATATGTCAAGATATCGATTGATACGGTATTATATATGCTTCTGCTCGAGGTTTAAAAAAATTCCCATAAGAACATGAGACTAGTTCGTAATTGAGTGAGCTAGATTAGGTGACCGAGTTCTAGTGCAAAGCCTTGTGCCTTCAGCAGCGAATATCGGCTCACCAACAAACAGAATAAAAAATAAAAAAGGAATACTTGAAATTTAACCGTCCGTTTTAATCTTTTAATGAAATAAAAAACGAACTGGCTATAAAAAAAGTAAGAGAAATCACATGAGTGTTGGCCGTATTATTATTAGAGTAGTAACAATAACAACAAAGGGGAAAGGGAAAAGAATAATATAGAGAAAAGGAAGTAGGTAGAGAAATCAGGAGAAAATATAAATTGTGAAAATGAATTATTAAGGATGGATATAGTTAATAGGACGTTTTAAGAAATAATTATGAAAAAAGGGATTGATGAGATTTAAAGGTAAAAATTGATTAAAGATTCTCAGAATTCATAACAGAATATGCTAATACAAGAAAATACTTAATCTCTAATAAAATTAAAATTATTAAAATTAAAAGATAACGATGAGATGAAGAATTCTTGGATTCCTAAATCTTCGAATTTTTAGATTCCACATTCCTTCTCGAAGCGGTTAAATTGTTAAATATTGGATTCCAAGATTTTCAAATTTTTAATGATTTCCTTCAATAATGAAATCCTTTGATTCATATAGACAATATATTTTTTAATTTTCTTCATTCTTATCTTCTAAGTCTGAAATGAAAAGATTCATAACTGTTTGTTTTTATCAAATTTTATTCTAAATAAGTGTCTTGTTTAATTAAATCGGAAAAAAATAAGCATCACATATTCATGGCTCACGCAATACATATGTACACACGCAGACATAAATGCCTCTTTATGCCTTCTTTTCATTCTTTCTCATGCCTTCTCCGAAACGCGTGCAACTTTGGGGATGTTAAGGCATTTGTGTCTTCGAACATACATACTCAGTAGGCGATTTAGCATCGATATTCAAATATCAATACTTATTGGCACAGTCTAGCGATATGCTAACCAATGATACTACAATGTATCACCATTTCAGCAGCAATATTGAACTTTTGATATGGCATATGGCTCCAGATGACTAATGAAAATAGATGACAATTCATTAAAATATTAGCTAATAAATATGCATTCTGAATTACAAAACGCAGCATTATAAAATGTTTAAGTATAATTGCGATCTCTCCGTTCCAAGTGAATGATTATTTTCACGAGCTGGAAATATCATCACCGAAAAAAGAAACCGTTTAAAAGGTGAATATCTGTGTGAAACAGTTACTATTTTTAAACTCTCTGTGAAAGATTTATTATTCTAACTTTTGTATGTAAAATTGGTTATTGTAACTTTTATAAGTATGTAAAATAAGTATGTAAAATAAATATAAGATGTAAATATAATGTGTAAGCATATGTATGCATATATATAAGATCGGTTCTTTTAAGCTGAACTTCTATTATTTATTTTTTTCGTTTTTTTATTTATATTGAAGAAAAAAGAAAGAGATAAACGATGCAAGAAGTTCAACAAAAAAAGGGCAGACATATATATATATTTTTATATATACAGGGTGAGTGATAAAAAGTTCACCACGTTTTTTTTTAAAACGGTTAGAGATAGGGAGAAGACACTTATTATCAAAAATGTAGGATAAGTAGGGCAACATACTTTGATAGTTTTGAATAACTATAAATGTCCTAGGTTTTTTAACATCAATAAAACTTTCTTTTGAAACATTTTAAGACAAACCTAATACGAAAATTTCGAGACCATAATAGTTTTTGAATTACTAGCGATTAAGTTTCATTAATCACGAAACGATATTTCCTACGCTCAGGCATGATGACATGATAAGTGGTAAGAGGCTTCTACGAAAGCTCTCTTAACAACGTCAAGATTGTCATACAAATATGTAACGATATTTTTATTAAGAAATAATTTCTACGTTATACGCAACGTATTTGTACACATACGAATATCGGAACAATAAATCACAACATATCAATTTAATCGATATTGCGAGATATTACTCCAGATAGTCAAGTCTGCCAAGATCATGTATTACTATTATGTGCTACGTAATATGTTGACAGAACTCGAGCAGTTTCAATATCAAAATATATTATAAAAAATTTTGCAAAAATTAAGTAGAAATTCTTAGCATAAAAACAGTATATTTTGAACATTGCATGCTGACAATATATTATCAGAAACCAAAATTGAGCATAACGTAATATTATAATATTATACTAGTAAATGTCTTCATAAATCGAATTTATCTGCACGGCATGAAGGCGAAAACGTGGCAAAAGTCAAGCATGTACTGTTATCTCAAAAAGTAACATCAAAAATACAGCAGAAACACAGCATGGAAATGTTATATCAGACCATAGTTCTTCCGTTTATCGCTATGCGACGTATCTATCAATATTTATCTCGTATTTAAATTTCTAGGCCCGTTCTTCTTAGCTGAACTTCTTGCACAATTTCTTTTCTCTTTTTCTTTCCAACGTGGAGAGAAAAAGAAGAAAGATGCAAGAACTTTAGCTAAAAAAAGCAGATCTCCGTTACGGACAAATATAAAGACTGCATAGAGCTCTGCGCACAATGGAGGAAATATTAGGAAAATAGAAATAAATATTAAGATTTCAACCTATCAGAAACCGTGTATTCTAGTGTAACTGGTATTTGGTAGGTTGAAATCTTAATATTTATTCTTGTTCCTAATATTTGTTCTATTATACGCAAGCCCTGATGCGGCTAATAAAAATAAAAACATTAAAAATATGTAGTATTTACCTACGAGTTTATTTTCTAACACAGTTCCTATAGAGAATTCAGAATATTAAATTGATTTTTTGAAAACCGAGCAATAATTCTCTCAATACAGAGAATGTTCATTTGTTAATACTTTAAGACGTAAAAAAATTAAAAGTACAATTTCTATTTAGCAAAATCTTATTTTGATTAAATATACTTCTTTAATAAAAATGTATTTATTTAATTTAATAAAAGTTAAATGTATGATAAATTATGTTTGTTTAATATGCGTCATTTCTGCTGCGTTTTTACCCTCAGTAGCTGATAACGCAGATTGCGCTCTATATCTGCCGCGTTTTTGTAGTCATGACGATAGGCTGTGTTCGGTTTTTGCTGCAGTTTTACTGTCAGTTTTCGATATAATAAGTCGTGCTGTAGCCTTGTCACAATTTCGCTGTCACAATGTAATAACAGATCATGCTTGATTTCTGCTGTCTTTCTGCTATTAGTATTTGATATGGCAAACTTTACAGATTATACTGTTAAGAACTAAACTTCCCAGATAGCCAAATGCGGCAGATGCCAAATTTGCTGATGTTTCCGAAAATCGTGGGAGCAACTAATTTCGATAAACTCGGAACAAAGTGAGATAGCATTATGTTTGTCACATTGAACTCAATAGAATTCTAATTCTAAAGACAGCAATTTGGAGGTAACTTGTTATTTGAAGGCAACTTGTCATCAGCATACTATGCAATTGCAATTTTAATAATACGCACATATGTTTTGATGTGATCTATATCAATTTTTATACCTCTGATTTTTTTCAATATTTTGCTATAGTTATTAAGAAATGTATGTGGAGATAATTTTATATAAATGCATTAGAGTTAAATAGGTATTTGACAATGT